AAAAAAAGGAAACCACTTAGTTGTTCATTAGATGAATCACCAAGTAAATTGTGTATCATTATACAATCATTAAAATGTATCTAAAGAATTTTCAATAGCTTGGACAAATGCTTATATTAAAAGTTATATAAAAATATCAAACCAGATATGAAATTATATGATCAAAGAATGCATATACGAAAGACTTGGAAGAAAATGAGCAACAATGTCAACAGTGGGTCAGACTGCTTCTGGATGTTAGAACATTAAGTAGGTTTGCTTTGTCCTTCTTAATCTTCCAGATCTTTGTTGTCTTTAATTATTAGCAGATTTCATTCATAATGGAAAAAATAAAATAAACTTGATAATTAAAAACAGAAGATAGGAATAGTAAGAGCTGTTAAGCATAAAAGATAAGGCTCAGTTATTCTGTTCATATTATTTAACTTACTATGAGTCTGTTATTGTTAGGCACTGTCAAGTCAATTTTGACTCCTAGCGGCCCCATGTGACAGAGTAGAACTGCCCTATAGGGTTTTCTGGGCTGTAATCTTTACGAGAGCATATTGCCATGCCTTTCTCCATGTAGCAGCTGGGTGGGTTCGAGCCTCCAACCTTTCGATTAGCAGCCAAGTGCTTAACCATTTTGGTAGCAGGGCTCCTTCCTATGGGCCTAATTGATATAAACTGTGTTATATCTATGAATTTGGACTTGATACTCAATTTTGCAAAAAGCACCATTTTGACATTCTTAAGTTATAACAGTGACACAACCTAGACAATTTAACACCATTCATTTACAATTCTCAGGACAGTTTTGACTTTACCCTTCTTTGCTGAGCACCCTGAGTTCTGATGAGCCAAATTGTTCTCCTGCCTGTACTGGGTTGAACAGCGTCCCTCCAAAATTCATGTCTACCTGGAACTTGTGAATGTGACCTTATCTGGAAACAGGGTCTTTGCAGATGTAATCAAGTTAAGATGAGGTCATCTTGGATTAAGGTCAGCCCTAAACCCAATATGACTGATATCCTTATAAGAAGAGGGAAATTGGACACAGAGACACAGACACACAGGAAAAATGCCATGTGGCACCCACGATAGCGACTGGAGTGATTCATCTGCAACCCAAGGAATGCCAAGAATTGCCAGCAACCACCAGAAGCTAAGAGAACAGATTCTCCCCTAGAACCTTCAGAGGCAGCATGATCCTGTCAGCATCTTGATTTTGGACACAAATTGTTAAGTGCTCAACAACTAGCTGAAAGGCTGGCAATTCGAACCCCCACAGAAGTGCCTCAGAAGACAGGCCTGGCGAACTGCTTCTAAAAGATCACAGCCTTGAAAACCCTATGGAACAGTTGTACTCTGCATGCATGGGGTTGCCATGAGTCAGAATCAACTCCATAGCAACTAACAACAACAGCAAGCCTCCAGAACTGTGAGACAATAAAT